ATATATATTGATAGAAGATACATATAGCATGTGTAGTTTATATACATATACGCACACATATATATAATATATATTATATAAGTATACATATATGTATATATATTAAATCTATACATATATATTCTATATATATGTATACATACTATATATATGAATATATTAATCAAAACGAAATAACTAAAATCATTATCCCATAACCTTACCTTATTTCTTCACACACTCTGTCCCAGTAAATTCGTCTCAGCTGAGTGACGGCGCGTGCCTTTTCTTGGGCGTCAACCAGAGAGACTCCGCTCAAGGGAAGCGAAGGCAGAGTGAGGGAAGTCGTGCTCCTCTCCCGGGTCTTGGAGATGAGGGAAGGTAGCCCAGGTGTCGGCTAAGTGGTAGTTGTTGTTCCTTGGGGTTCGATGGTACTATCGAAGGGATCGATGCATGCCTTACGGTTTAAAAAGAATGATAAACGTCGGAGTCGTTTGAGTTTTGGGGCCAAAAGCTGACATTCACTCACTCACACACACACACACACACATATATATATATATGTATATATATCTGTATATTTATATATATATATATTTATATATATATGTATATATATGTATATTTATAAATATATGTATATATATGTATATTTATAAATATATGTATATTCGTATATACATACATATATATATATATATATATGTATGTGTATATATATATATTATATGCATATATTATATATATACATATATATATACATATATATATGTATGTGTATATATATATGTATATATATATATATATATATATATATATATATATATATATATATATTATATGCATATATTATATATATACATATATATATATACATATATATATATATATATATATATATATATATATATATATATATATATATATATATGTATATATTAGGATATTTTGTAAAATGAATATATAGGAAACAAATTCCAAATACAATTTCAGCAGAATTGGTGGCATCCAAACAAAGGTTGTAGAGCAAATATGTTTCTTTTGAAATGTAAATCCAAGTTTATGCATGATTTTATATGTAACAGAGCTATTAGGGAAAACAGGCAGAGAACTAATGTGGGAACTGTCTCAGATACTAAATAAAACAATACTTTTTTGTTTTGATTAAAATATAAAGTAAACTGGCAAACATTCTGGCGAATAATGACAATGATAATATAATGATAAATATTGTAATAATAGTAATAATAATGATAATAATATAAAATATATTAGTGACAAGTATGATAAGAAGGACGTTCATAATGATAGTGATTATAATCATAACAGTAATCATGATGTTAATGACTCCTGCCCTCGACTCAGTTATATATATATATACATATATATATATACATATATATACATATATATATATATATATATATATTTCTATATATAAATATTTCTATATATTTCTATATATTCATATATATATGTATATATACAGATATATATATATATATATATATATATATATATATATATATATATACATATATATATATATATTTATGTATCTATGTATATATATATACATATATATGTATATATATATACACATATATGTATATATATATATATATAATTGAGTCATTAACATCATGATTACTGTTATGATTATAATCACTATCATTATGAACATCCTTATTATCATAGGTGTCACTAATATAGTTTTATATTATTATTATTATTGTCATTATTATTACAATATCTATCATAATATTATTATTGTCATTATTGTTATTATTAGCATTATAATTATTACTACTATTATTCTTCTTCTTCTTCTTATTATTATTATAGTTTTTTTTATATTATCATTGCTATTGTTATTATTCTAATAATATTATTATTATTGTTATTATCATTTTTATTATGAATATTATTGCAATTATGATGATCATTATCATTATAAATATTATTACAATTATGATCATTATAATTATTATTATTATTATCATTATTATTATTATTATTATTATCATTATTGCAATTATTATCATTATTATCATTGTAATAATTATCATTATTATTGTTAATATTAATGCTATTACTACCATTGTTATTATTATTATTATTTTTGTTCTTATTATTATGATTGATATTATTATTATTATTATTATGATGATCATTATCATAATTGTTATAATTATTATTTTTGTTATCATTGTTATTATTATCATAATGATTGTTGTTATTGTTATTACTCTTATTCGTATCATTGTTCTTACTATTTTCATAACTATTATTTTTATTATTAATAATAATGTCATTTTATCACTATATGGCCATTCTTATGATTATCATCATTAGTATTATCATTGTCATAACTATCATTATAATTTTCAATATTATCATTATCATTATATTATTATTGTTATTAGTAATAATATTGTTATTATCATTATTATATTATCATTATCATTATTATTATTATCATCATCCTCATCCTCATTATGGATATTGTTATCATCATAATAAGAAATATTATTATGCGTTTGTATTGTTATCTATTTTGTGTGGCTATGCAGACACAATTCAAACGTGTGTGCATAAAGTATGAGTGCGTATGCTAGGAAGAGCTCATGTATATATGTGCGTTCGTGCATGCATATATGTGTGCACGCGTACATGTGTTTGTATGCAAGAGAAGCAATACACATGCGCGTTTAAATTTATATATGGGGCACGTATGCGGGCATGCGTATGGAGGTATACATGTGTGTGTGTGTGTGTACATGTACATGGTTATATTTGTGCATATACAGTTATATGTATGCGTATAGTTAAGTGTACAATATTTATGTGCATGTGTGTATTCCCCTGTTTGTACTCGATGGTATATATGTGTATAAGTATATAGAAATGTATATTTCTATGCATGTGTATATATATACATAAACATGTATGTGAACAAGTGTATATATATGTGTATGTATATATATGTGGGTGTAGTCATATACGTAAGTGTGCATACACATGTGCGTGTTCATATGTATGGCTGTATATGTGTATGCATAGCCATACGTATATGT